TATATTCGAAGCAATCGGTCAATGCATTATTTAAGACAAAGTTAGTGGAACAGCTCTTTTAAGGTACAATGATTATTCGACATACAATCGAATCAAATAACGAAACTATTGAGGTTGTACTGTGATGGTGGGCTTCTCATTCACTTGATATATGAAATGAAAACTTGATGTCAGCATTATAATTAAACAAACTTAAATCGTAATCGACATTAAACAAAAAATAGTATATAATGAAGATGAATGGTTGAACATAGGCTTAGATGATCAAGTCTAACATTCTATCATCCAAATGTAACGTTAAATATTACATAAGTACAAGAAAATATAATTATGTATTTGTTATTAGTTATAGTTGTTAGTATCACTTAGACATGCATATTTAGACCGGTCACCAAATTATGATTTATCAATTAATTCATCCAAAATCAATACATGTGTCTATTTCACACGTGTCACATATCATGCCAATGATTAATTATTTCAAATAATTAATTTGATTCGATATATATGATGTGGTTGTACATATTATTTAATCACAATCACAATTATGCTACGTGCTTTCTGTAAATTGGTTTTAATTTAATTATTTATTAAATTAATTTTATTGGGATTTTTACGAGCTAATTAATTGCTTTGAGGTATTTTTTAAAATAAAAGTAATTTCCTAGAGTGTGATATACCCTTCAAATATATTACCAAGAAGGACAAAATTAAGTATAATTAATAATTAATATAATTTTATTCTAATCACATAATGTGTGTGTGTTGTTATCCTACTTGTTTTTGTTTCCTTCCTCCTTAACAATAAAAATGGACTTCTCCTTAGTAGTAGTAGTTTTTTGCATATGATTTTTTAGGTTACACATAGGATAAACACCGCTGGAAATTATGAAATTTCTGATCACCTGAAAGTGATCTTAAATTAAGTCGAAAGCAAAAAGTGATCGAAAATAGCAACAAAGGTTTTTTCGGATACCAAAAGTGGTCGGAACAAGGCTTTCGACTTGATTTAAGATCACTTTCAAGTGTTCGGAAATTTCATAATCTTCAGTAGTGAAAGAAGATGGAGGAAAAAAAGAATAGAAAAACAAAATGAAAAAAAAAAAAAAACTGACAAACTAAAAACAAAAAACAAACAAGTTTAACTGGTTTCTTCAGAGTGGCCGTCATGAAGTGCCCCAACGGGCGCGTGGGAAACACACACCCGCTGTGGCGGGCAGTGTGCGCTTGCCTTTTTTTTTTTTTTTTTTTTTGTAACTCTGACAAAATTCATTTCTTGTAAGAGTAAATTTGTCAAAAAATTTCCTCTCACATCCGTTCATTTGTTTTTTGACAATCAAAAACCAAATAATAAAATCTACTATTATAGATGTTTTTAGGACAAGACTTTCCTAATAAAATAGATCCGATGATGCCATCATTATATGAATATTTAAAGGATATTCCGCTGATATGCATGATTCTTCCTACCTAAATACCATATAATTAATCTACGACAGTTACCTCCCTGTTGATCGAATATATTGTTCTGATAAAATAAATAAATAAATAAAATCAAAGTGCTGAGTTGTTTATGCGTTTTATTTTATATTTTTTACTCAAATTAAAGTTCAATAATTGACATAATTTTATTAAATGAAATTAGACTAAATTATTAAAATTTTAGTAAAATTATAAGAATATTGACACAGAATGCCAAGATTTATTTACTACTCCGATGACAATCATAGCGCGTAGTGAATATACAATTTTTTTTAAATTTATATAATAATAATCGTCATATTCCTATGATAAGATGTTGGATTAGGTCTTACAAACCTCGGTCCAATAAAGAAAGGCATGTTGCAAGTGTTTATATAATTTTTTTGTTTAATATTTATCCAGTAGGTACTCCATCATGATCATATATGAATGGATAGATGGCTACGTTCCCAATTGCCATGCATGCATGCATATGTATCCAACAAAATTACAAGGTCCTACAATTCCAACACATCTTTAATAAGTTCGAGGGTAGTAATATAATTGAAGAATCCTAGCTAAGTTACTCGGACAATTAATTTAATAATTATAAAGTGTCAAGTTTAATTTTGTGTGGAATTGCTTATTGACAGATCGACCTTCTTGATTTGATCGAGTTGGTCAGCCGGTCGTAAGAATAATTAAAGTTTAATTTCTAGAACTACAATTATCCGTTATTGTTGAAGTTTTTGGTTAATTTTTGAAATCGAACCGTCTGGATTGAAAAAATAAAATTATTTTAAAATTTCTTGTTAATGTGATGCAAAAATCATATCAAAGTTTGGTGTCTTAGGAGATCGATTGGGATTGAGTTGTTCTAGGTTTTGGAAATTATCTAGGCAGGCATATATGGACCGGCAGCCTCGTAGAAGAAGTATAATGATAGATGAAATCGACCAATTTGGTTTGTTGGATAGCGATGATTCATGGGCGCCATTTTGGACACGACGTTTAATTATCATGCCAAACTTGATTACTCCCCCACTAGTCTACTTCAAGTGGTTACGTTATTCGGAGAATGATTTTTCTTTTAATTTAAGAAAAAAATTGCAATTAATATTATAATAAATCCGTGAATATACTTAACATAGCAATTAACAACATGACTACTAGGCACACACCGATGAAATAGTTTAGGAATTGTAATGCAAGTATGAGAAAATATATTGATGGAATAATTACGGAGCGGATCCGGGGCGAAGTAATATGAAGCGAATCAGACATGAGACCTGATATGACTACGCACGTGACCAGGCCGATCGTGGAGCGGTCTTTTCACCCCGGGGTCCTCGGACACTGCAACCCAGGGTCCTCGACCACCTTGGGGTCGGCCACCTTGGGGTCGGCCAGCGTGAGGTCGGCCACCTCATGGTCCTCGCTTGGCCGAGCTCCGGGCTCGACCAAGGGACGGGGTCCTCGTATTGTCCGAGTCTTGCAGCGTCGGTTGCGGTCCAAGACAGTTGAGAGGACCTCCCACCTTTCTCTTCAGGGTTGTTGGGGCGACATGGGGTATAAAAATCCTCATTTGTGTTTTGTTTAGACATCTTGTGTCCTAATTACATACGTTGTCTCGTTATTACGTAATCATTGTCCTTGTAATAGCGTTTCATACATAATTAATACAATATTCGTCCCCGTGACGTATATTCGGTCCTATTTCGTACTGTTATTATATTCTTCATTCGTTCAATCCTTACTTGTCATCACGTTCATATTCATATATTCGGATTATATAATCCAGACTCCCGGATTATTATAACCCATCATATCATATATAAAATTGTACTTTCGTTATTCATTACAACTTTTTATCTTAATAATTAGTACAATAATTTTTTTATCGAGATAGGAGACCCTAAAAACGTTGGATATCTTATTATATATTTTATTTAAAATAAAGGTGGAAAGAGATCATATCAAGATGGACACAAAACTTTACCTCCCTGTTCATTCATGTGCAGCAAAAAGTAATAAAATAAAAAGAAGATTCTAGTAAAACAATAATTATGAAGGGCCCTCCCATATACAATAAGCAAACAAATTAAATTTAAAGTTTGGGAAAAAAATTGAAGATGGACCCCATATATGTCTACTCTTTAGCTATAATAATTAATAGTAATAATGATACAATTGGCTGCTTATTAGCTTATAATATTTGCATTATGCATGCATGTTTATCATTCACTGTTAAACACCACTTTTTTTTTTTTTTTTTTGGGGGGGGGGGGGGGGGGGGGGGGGATTAGAATTGGTACTTTATATATGTAATTCTTTTTAAACTCAAGTTTACATTTATTTTTTTTTTGAAATTTATAATATGTTTGAAAAAAGCAAAAAAGTATTTTCTAGAAAATTATTTATTTTATGTAAAATATTTTCATTTTCTAGTGTTTGACTTGAAAGTAACAAAATAGTAATATTTTGTTTGGTTGAAAGTAAAAAAATTATATACATATATATATATATATATATATATATATATATATATATATATATATATATATATATATATATATATATATATATATATATATATATATATATATTTATTTATTTATTTATTTATTTATATTTATGTTTGGTTCTTTTTTTAAAAAAAATATGAAATAGTAATATATATTTTTATTTTCAATTAATAAATGTAATAAGTCTAAATTTAAAAAAATTAACGAAAAAAAAATAAATGTTTTAAATTTTTTGGACTATGAGTTTAATTGGACCAAAGTTTTTATTGTTTGACATAACATGATCAGACTCATATTTTAACCAAATTAGTCCAATTTAATTCAAATAATAACCAGACGTGTGGCGAGTCAGGCAGCCAACCCAGCATTTGACACCACTTGAAGGGAGAGATGAGCATGAAATAAGAATCCGCCATAAAATACATTTTAACTAGAAATGAGTTACATTATTTTTTTTTTTCTTTTGACTACAATAAATATTTTTTAGTGATAATTGGAAAATAATTTTCAAAAAGTCTTTTTTTTTTTTTTTTTTTTTTTGTCTTTTAACGGAACCTAAATGAAGTAAAAGGTTAATATGGATGTGAATGTTTTAACTGAAAATTAGCTGTCAATACTATGATTAGCTCATTAGTTGTCGCAATCGTTTCCCATATGTCCGTTGTTTTCATTAAAAAGAAGTATGCCCAATTATCCATCTGTCTTTGTCGTCCACTGCAGTGACATGTTTCACTTCCTCGACAATATACCATTCTTTCTCGTGAACTTCATCTAATTTCTTCATTCATTGGACCATTTCGATCCATCTACTCAGATCAGATCCCCAACTCTTCTACTGCATCCATATATATTTCCTATTCTTTTTACCTATAAAAACAAGTAAAACATCCTAAATTTTCACGTTTCGAATCTTCCAAAAACATTCAGTAATAACGTATGAATTTTTTATGTTTTTAAGATTGTTACTTCATAGTAAAATGACTACTGTTTTTTCCTATAAATTTGGAAGCTCTCTGCCCCAGATTTCATAGCCTAAGTGATTAAGAAGTCTTCAAGAACCAGAGAGAGAAAGAGAGATGAAAATGGGTTTGAATAACCAATTTCTTGTAGCTTTTCTTGCTTCAGTACTTGCGTTAGCATTATTCTCTGTAAATCCGGCGGCGGCGCGGGCGGTGGCTGTCGGAACGACAAACACCGAGTTCATTAAAACATCTTGCCAGGCAACGACGTACCCTAATCTGTGTTACAGATCTCTGTCGAGCCATGCAAGTGAGATCGGAGCCGACCCGGAGCTTCTCGCCAAGACGGCGCTGACGGTGACGCTGCAGACCACCAAGTCGACTTCCGCCAAGCTGGCGAAACTGGCGGCGGAGACCTACAACCTGACGCGGCGGGAGGTCGGCGCTATGCGCGACTGCATCGAGGAGCTACACGACTCCGTGGACCGCATCAGACGCTCAATGGAGGAAATGAAGGAGCTCTCCGGCCCGGATTTCGACATGAAAATGAGCGACATAGAGACGTGGGTTAGTGCCGCCCTGACGGACGACGATACCTGCACCGAAGGGTTCGCCGGAAAATCCGTCGACGGCAAACTTAAGACCGCCGTGAGGGCGCAGATTCGGAAGGTTGCGCACTTGACTAGCAACGCTTTAGCTCTAATCAACAGCTTCGCCGCTCTCCATAACTAATTAAGCTTAATCGTACATTGTTAATTTCTCCAAGAAACATGTTGCATGTTTGAGTGATGGAAAAAGGTTGTATGTCTGTGTATAATTTTGATGGGTGTGTAGTGGGCTTTTGTGATGTAGTACCATAGATATGTTACCTATGAATTTTACTTTACTACTAGACAAACAATGTTTCTATTGTAAATAACTAAATAAGATCGGGTGTCACCGAGTTGCTCTCCCAAATAGGAGGTAAGTAGTACTATAAAAAAAAAAAAAACTAAATAATAATATATATGTTTTGTATGTAACATCATTTACTCTGTCCCATTTTTGTGAATAACGAGAAAAATTCATCGTCACGTACTATTCTTGTGTACTGTACAAACAAAATTCTATATGTGACGGCTTGACTAAGATTTTATTAGTAAGAGTACGTTTAACTTGTAACATTTAGGTACAAAAATTAGTTCAACCACTTATTAGTCACCACTTGAAGGATACTCGGTTGCTATTTTCTACCATATAAATCAGTACCAATATATGTTAAATTAAAGAGTATTGTCAATTTTAATTTTGTCCTTATAATACTTGATACATACATACATACATACATACATATATATATATATATATATATATATATATATATATATATGAACAAGATCTGGTGTGGTCACTATTTTTCGTGCGGCTTTGCGCCATTATGTGTGCACAAAATGCACCACCACGTGTTCAGAAATGTACCAGGTACCACTTAAATTGTAAAATACACTACACCTTGATGCATTTCTAGATACGTGATGGTATATTTATGATACATATTTGTGCAAAGCTGCATAATCGTAAGAAAAGTTATATATATATATATAATTGCTTCGATATGATGCTGATTGACATTGATATCAATTAATATCTTAAGATTTTTTAATATTATATTACTGAAAATGAAAATGTTTTGTTTTAAGGCATTGTTGATCATGAATGGTACCCTACACTAGACAATGCACGTGCACCTATAACAAGATGCTTGTTTTAGCTTGGCTCCTTCCATCCCCCCATCCAGTTAAGCTGCAAATAATTATGTGGACTAGGGTCATTGTGGACCCTAGTTTTAAACAATGTTATATATTTTATGAAATTAAATACTTTATATATGAAGTTAGTGTATCAAGTTTATAAATTGAACTTGTAGTATTATGTTTACCCACCTTCTAAAGTTGTATTGATCGACTTAGTAGTGTTATTTTTGGTTTATTACAACAATTATGTTGACATGCAAAGTTTTTATTATACAGTTAAAGTATTAATTTTATAAAGTTGCAGTTATCAGATTATGTATTAATGTTACGTTGAAAAAATGACGTCATTAACGATATTGCTTCAAAAAGTTACGAAACAACATAATTTTGAATTAGGTTAAAGTGCACGAAATAACAACCGAGTTTCAGCCTAACGATTTTTCTTTATACTTTATAAAAACCTTTTTTTTTTTTAAAGAAAGAAATTTTGTTGGACCATGCCTTAACTGGCAAGTTGCACAATGAAAACGATAAAAACTCATATGGTCCAGTTGGAAACCCGACCCTATCATCCACCACAAGAGTAGTCCTTTTCCTATCCTTTCATTTCTACTAAAAATATCCTAAATGCTATTTTTTTTTAATAACATAATTTCCCGATATTCGATAATCATTTTGAACTCGAATTAATTAATTATTCTTGTTTTATATTTTAAATACTTTTTATGATTAATGGGTCCAAATAAAATATTTCTTGATTTTAAGTTTTGTATACAAGCTCATCCAAGATGATGTAATGGATCTATAAATGTTAATTAAGTTGGGCTAAGCCTTGAGGAGATAGGTTGACGCATGAAGGCCCAGTAAAAAAAAAAAAAAAAAAAAAAAAGGAGAGAGAGAGAGAGAGGGGTATTGCATAATAAAGTACTTCGTAAATTTAAATTCATATAATATATGATGAGTATAAATATTATCATTTTTGTATAGGTGACACTTATTAATTAATATCGTTCCTAACTGTGCTGTCAAAAGATTAATCTAAAATTAAATGTGTCACCCAAACATGTATCGCCTAGTTAATGTGCTTTGAAATAAGCCAAGATGCCAACAAGAGGTGCATTAACATAAGTAGTAGGCTCGGAGTGATTAGGATCATTTCTGTCATCAGCAAATTGGTCGTTTCCGTCAGGCCCTCCGACCACAGCTCCGACCAGCAAGTTAGGATTTGGGTTTTGGGTTTGCAAATATGACCACCCATCGCATCCCATGGGCTCACCATGATCGCCGACCGACGGCAATGACGCCCCTCGGTGGTGTGCTCGTTGGGGATACTTGAAGCCGTACCCCACCATATATGACATCTGTATCGGATTATTTCCTAATATATAATCCACCTGTTCAATTTCACCATATTTAGCTTCACTATATTTGGATTGTACTAGAAACTGTAACAAGGTATATTTTCTACCTGTACCTTAAAGTTTTCAAATTTACCTGGGATTTTGCGAATTCTATAAGCCTGGCTGGAGTGACAACAACGTTGCCACAGTTGATTGTCCTTTTAGCCTTCTCCAAGTACGTTCCATATGTAACGAAAAGAAACGACACAGCTGCTGGACGTTGCATGTTACATGCCGCACCGTCCTGCACCATAAGTCCACCTACCAACATTTTCAAGATAAAGTGTAATAGTCAGAGATTTTAATGTTACTAAGAAATAGAAATCTTAACTTTTTAACGAGTGATTGAAAAACACGAAAATGCCTACCAGGACTGAATTTTTCGGATTTGAAAGGCGATTCGGGGAGAACATTGCATACGAGTGCATCAGCATTGGGAATGAAAGGGTTGAAATCTGGGCTGTCTTTAGTTAGAATAAACTGCAAAATATGTGAAGGGCCGATATATAAATACGGTTATCAGGTAGTTGATTGTATTAGTTGTTTATAACCTAACCGACGAACCTGAGAGACGAGAACATTTATACCGGCATGCTTGGAATCCCATCCAAACATACTTGTCGCCATCGACATGCCATTAATGTTCTGCTTCACATAATTCCAGTATTGAGCGTCATTTGTGGCTTTGTGGAGCCATGCTGCTGCCCATACCAATTCATCCTGAGAAAAAAACATTCAGGTTTATGAATTGTGACTAGGATAGGATGTTTTATTTGAGGATAACTAGGATAGGATGTCCAGGAATTAGATTAGTACATATATATATATTAATTACCTGATAGCCACCAAAATCGCAGTAAAATGGACAAACCCATTGCCCTAAGCCGGTATTGTATGACCCTCTGTATTTATCAGCAAATTGAAAAACCTGATATGATCCAACAACGTTAGTTTCCAAACAATTAATGTTAGTTTCATCATATCATAAAATAATTAGGTTAATGTATGTGTGTTACGATACGTACCTGGGTGGCTCTTTTCAGGAGCAATTTGGAGTAACGACGATCAGAAGACTTGAAAGCCAAGGAAGCGGCGGCCATGGCGGCGGCAATCTCTGCAGAAACCTCGGAGCCTGGAGACGTGTCGGTGACGGCGAAAGACGTCCGAGGAGTGTCCATATCCTCCGGCCGTTCCCAGCAACTGTGATCGGCGTGAGGCTCACCAACCATGGCATATACAACGTTAGGTTTGTCTGTAGCCTTCAACATGAAGTCTGTCGCCCACCGTACCGCCTCCAAAGCGTGACCCAGCTCATCTCCCATGGCGCCGCCGTATTCCACCACACTCCATGCCAGCATCGTCGTAGAAAACGCCATTGGAAAACTGTACTTAACGTTGTCTCCAGCATCATAGTATCCACCTGTCAAATCCACCTAAATTCAGGGAAAACAATTAAAGATTCACATAATTAAATAATTAGTGCCTGCAGGGACTACATGCATTGTTATTATTTAATTAAAAATCATTTTGCAAAAAAACAAAAAAGACCACCTAGTATGAGACAAATTAAAAGGTAATTTTTAAATTATTTATATATATATTAGGAAGACATACACCGTGATCAGAACCATCTTGAAGAGCAGAATCCCTTCTCCAATTCAAACGTTGGTTACTGGGCAGTTTGCCGGACCTCTGACCCTCAAAAAATAGGATACTTTTGGATAAGGCGTCGCCGTAATCATTTCCCCGGCGGCTCCCCGTCATCTCCGCCGCCGTTACAATGGTTATCAGGCAAAGAAACGCCGCCGCAACTTTGACCAACGCCGCCATTTTAAACCAAAATCTTACTTTTTTCGTATATAAATCGTATGGACTACTTGAATATATATATATATACACACACAGATGGCTTTATTTATAGATTACACCAGATTGCATATTTAGTAATATCATTATAATATGCCTTTTTGGGCTGCATGCCTCCATATATCTATAGGTGCGCTCCCCTTAATTATTTGATCTATTTCCTAATGTAGTTTAGAGATTAATCTAAAAAAAAAAAATTTGAATCTAGATTTGATATCTTACCCAAAAAAAAGATCAAATCGGAAATGAATGATATCATTAATTTACAAATTAACATGGTTAAGTGCGGATAAAAACGATGTTTTATTGGGGGACCAAAGAACAAATGAATTCCCAAGAAATACAAGCAGTGTGTCATTAGAAAGAATTAGATGATGATGGAAAAATGCATGTATGTGAAAGTACTCAAACAAGTCTCCTCTTACAAGTCAATGACTTTCTAATGGTACGAGGTGATTCTCTCATATGAAAGGTCCAAGCCCAATTGGAATAGTATTGACTTTTTGTACTTCAATTCAATAGATTGATGAAATAGATGTCTCATATGGAAGGTCCAAGCCCTATTGGGATGGTAAAATATATATGAATAGAGTTAGTAGTACTCAAAAAAGAAAAAAAAAATATTCCCTTGAAAAAATATAACAAAATAAAATATTTGTGACTTTTATTATTTCCTTATTTGGACAATTTTATTTTACATAATGTTTGGTCAAAATTAAAACAAGATTTTATAAATTAACATCGATCTTTAATAAAAATTTGTTTGGTACATTAAATTTGGGGTGAGAAAGTTTGACCAAAAAAACAACATTTCAAAA